ATAGGCTAAAAAATTACAACAATTATAAAAATAACATCAAACATGTAAAGTTAAGTAGAGAAAAATCATCAAACATGTATCCAATTTCAATGTATTCAATTTTTAATACAACTTGTAAAGTTAAGTAGAGAAAAATACCTCAAAGAGCTAGTTGGTGTAAGATTGAGATTCAATTAGTATTCGGATGAAGACATTCTGATATGACATCGAAAACAAAAAAGACACAAGTAATTAAACCCCACAACACAACACACTAACTTTAAACTTTAAATTATAAACTAATAGTCTAAGATACAAGATAATAAATAAAATATAAACCCCAACAAATAAAAATAATATAGCTCATAGTAGAATTTATGCAGTGCAATCAAACAATCTCACAAGGAGAATTTCACAATCTCTAAACACTAAAATTGTGAGATCCTGGTATCCCACATCGGTTAGGGAGGGAAAAGTGGCTGGGCTTATTAGTAAGCCCCTTGCCTTACATGACATAAGACCTTTTCCTAGGGATACTGGGAGGAACAAGGCCGTGAGAGCCAGTGGGCTCAAAGCGGACAGTATTATGCCATGTGTAGGGTGGGGTGTTACAAGTTGGTATCAGAGCCGACTCTCGCCTGGATCGAGTGAGGGCCCCTGCCGTGCTTGCGTGTATGTGGGCGGGCAAGAAGCTGGCGAGTTACTGCACAGGGACGTGCAACCCTAACGGGGGTGGATTGTGAGATCCTGGTGTCCCACATTGGTTAAAGAGGGAAAAGTGGCTGGGCTTATTAGTAAGCCCATCGCCTTACATGACATAAGGCCTTTTCCTAGGGATATTGGGAGGAACAAAGCCGTGAGGGCCAGTGGGCTCAAAGCGAACAATATTATACCATGTGGAGGGTGGAGTGTTACAAAAATGTATGCAATGCAGTCAAACATTAAGAATTTCACAAGCTCACACCAATAATCAACCCATAACTTCATAAGAATTTCACAAGCTCTAAACTCACAACTTTTCTTTATGCTTCTATAGGCTAGATTGGAGAGAGAGATAGACCATGACAGACCACACAGTCATAACTAATAATGCAACAACATTAGATTTCTAGAAATAGGAATCAAAATGCATTTCTTGATCATAGAGTCTTGAGATTGGAGATCAAACAAATACAAATTATTCAATGACACTGATCAAACAAAGTCAATTTGAATTGGTTAACGAGATGAGACCACAAGGAGGTTGGCCTTTATACTATTTTTTATCAAACCTGAATTTGGTTACTAACTCAAGTGACATCACACTTTATAAGCTATAATAGTGTGTATTCTGCAGTAAAATACTTCCAAAAATGATAAAGAATATTTCACTTTTTGATACTCAATATGGATTGAAACTCTTTCAAAGGGTGACAACTCTATGATCCATACATTTTTTTGGGTTTCCAACCACCACAAAATAGTGTTTCATTAACAGAGGCATTTGATCGAACATGTGGTAGGCTTTATCAGGTGAGAAAAAAATTCCTTCAGCAACTACAAAGGGAACTGGGCAAGGAAAGACAGAGCCAAAGACCAAAATACAAATCACACACACACACACACACACACACACAGAGTATGCCAGTATGTACCTATTCCTTCCCCTTCGAGTCTTCGATCGAGGCTTACTCCCTTTCAAGTTCCCACTACACACTACTGTATAAACCAGAGCAGAGCAAGAAAGATTGAGAGTCTATGAGAAAGAAAGAGAGAGGGAGAGAGACTCACGTTGAGGCTGAGAGGAACGAACGACGTCCAGGGCTGGGCAACACAATTTAGGGCAAAATGCCCAAAAGGGCCAAAAATCAACGTTTTATACTAAATTAAATAACCCGCCCGGTTTGATGAAACCCATCCAATTTGACGATTTTCATCGAGTTTTTTCCGGTTCACTGGTTTGATTCCGGTTCTTATGCACAAACGATCCAATAGGTGAATTGGCCCGGTTTAGGCACCAGTTCACCGGATTAACCCACTGAACCGGGCCAAGTTTTAAAACATTGGATATGACTCTTAACTGTTGATCCATCTTTTTCGGCTACTATCTGTGATCATGGACTTGTCCTTCGAGATATATGAAGGTGTACTGAACCATTTCTAACTAGCGGCTCATGATGTCATATTTTCTCGTTTCTCAAGATTCCAAGAGTTCTATTCCTCTAACCATCCTGTCAATTGTAGACTCTCACAGTCTCCCTTATGGCTATCAGATTCTTTCCATGTGTCACTCTTAGATCTTACTATTTTTGGTTGTAAACACTAGGGCTGCTAAATGATTTAGGCGACTCTCCAGTGGTTCAGGCTCGGCTCGATTTGAGATCAACTTGGGCTTGCTCACATTATAAAATGAGACAAATTGAACAAATTTTTAGTCTCACTTTAGTATTCAAGCCAAGCCGAGCCAAGTTCTAACTATTCACGAGCCGACTCATTTTTCCTATTTGTAAATAATATACATATAGATTATTACAAATCTAAATGTTATATCAGTAAAATAAGCAAAAAAGTAGCTCATTTCATGTCTTTGTCTATCCATCACAAGTCTATCATGCGAGACTCATCATCATCTCTCTATCTCAAAAGTAAAATCCTTGAGCTGCTGATCATTTTATCTCTTTTTTAATCTCTTTCACAGTGTCACCGACTCCTTTTCTCTCTCCCCCTTTTTCTCTTCTTCCATGGTTTTGGTATCCTTTTAACTCTAAATCATCTCGGTCTCTCTCTCCACTTGCTCACCACCATGGCTTTCCCTAATCCAAACCCTAAAAAATATCATCTATGATCTATTGATCTCTGCTACTAGTTATCAGCATGTACACAGACTTGTATTTATTAATTTTATATGTTTTTGTTGTGATTTAGAGGTATTTTATGCTCAGACTTGTGTTAAAAAATTAGATTTGTGTGCATTTTTATGAAATTTTTTGATTGAGTATTTGAAATTTGTGGATTTGAAAATATTTTTAAATGGTTCGAGTGTGGCTCGAATTTAGTTTAAGCCACGCTGGAACAATATTTTAAGCTCAACAAGTTAGCTTGAGCTGAGCTTCAGTAATCCTTGAAAAACATAAGCCGAGTCTGAGCATAGCCAAACTCGAAAGACTCACTTCAATTAACACCTCTAGAAGTGACCATGTTCATTGCATCTGGTTGAATACGGAACCATTTCCATTAAAAAATTTGATTTGACGTTTTTTTTTTCTAAAATTTAAATTAAATATTTTAAAAACTAAAATAACATAGTGACAGTAATGGGGACGAGGATGAGATGAAAAATATACTTTAGGGACTATTACAAGTTTTTTTTTTGGGAGGAGGAGGAGAAGATGGAGGAGGAACTTGAACGCTTAACCTCAAGAAGACAAAGTCTTTACAAGACAAAGAGTACCATTTGACCAAAGATCAATTGATAAAAAATATAAAAAAATTTCTACGTTAAATAAAATATATTTACAACGGCAACGATGCCGCCCTATTACCAGTAATGCTAATGCATGAAACATAATCCATTAATCTAATTATGTGTTAAAAAACATATTTTAATAATATTATTGTAATTGCAAATGCTAGACTTTTGTACAGGAACATGTCAATTGATACATCATTATGCTAAAATATTGAGCTACATTATTAGGTTCAAATAGTATTAGTAAAAAAACATAAGCTAACTCTAAACATATATGAACTGTGCTAGTCTAGTCTATAAATTAAATTTTTATTTGATCGGATTAGTCGTATATAGATTCGTATTGTTGATTGATATTCCAAAATCGAATTTAGATTTATGCTACATCATATTTCACATATTTAAATTTAGATAAACACATCATTATGTTGATCATATATTTTTTTATTAAAATATACATGATGACATTAAGAGATTATTTGACAGAATTTAGTTATAATTTTACTTAATTAAGTTATTTAGATCATATTTTTTTATTTTTTTACGGCCACAGGGATGAAATAAAGAATAGAATTTGTCAAATAATCAAAACAAATTTAGATAAAAAAATTTAAATCACGTTGGACAATTTAGATGACATACACAATGCATACCATATCCAACAATCTCTTTGTAGGATTCATAGGAGGAAAATCTTATTTGTACTAAATTTGTACATCTAATTAATTGTAAATGTTTGATTAAAAATAAGTTGGAAAAATTATCAATAAGTATTATTTTTTTTCTACAAATATCCATTAAGTCCTATCATTTTTGTTTTATGTCAATAAAATCTTATTTTTAATGTTTTATTTCAATCAAGTCCTTAGGCCATTATATTCTAATTTCACCCTCAACGTTTAGTTACTAAACCCTTTAATTTTAATTTTATTTTTTTTAAATGTCACAATTCTTGCGACACTTTCCGTGGGGCTTTTCCATTTGCTCAACAACGGTGACGTCCATCTTTTTTTTTTTAACGAGTTTATACATTGAAATTATTTTTGCCCTTTTGTTCGTTAAAAAATTGCTAGAACTAAAAAATACATCATTGTTGTGTATCAATTGTTATTTAACTCAATTTAAAGTTTTTTTGAGAGCGGATCAGTTGTCATTGAAGTTACTGTTACAAACACAAACATGTTCAATTTTTATTTAGGTAATAATATTTACTTCAATCACAATGCTAAAAACACAAAGTACAAGAGTTCTCGTCGTGAAACACTTCTCCGGTGAGAATACATGGGGCGCCCAAAACCCTCTTTTACATCCCATAATTGTAATTCTAAAAATTATAAATAATTAAAATTTTCATAAAACTACCAAGTAGGCAATGCGTAATTTAAAACACAAAAAGTCATAGTATGTATTAATAGAAAAAGACTAATGTTATAACCCAAATATCATAAGTGTCAATATTTGTCAACCAAATGATAGAATTGGAACAAAATTTGCTATTTATGAAATTTAGGACTTCGTTCAAATAAATTAGTAAGAATATGATTTCGTTGATATAAAACAAAATGAAAATAATAGAAGTTAATGGATAGCATCCCACTGGTCACGAATAGCTGATGTGTTATCTGTTTCTACTGAAGAGACTAAACACTTCTCCAGCCAACGGCCAACATAAACCGAAATTAGAGCAGGCAGCCATGGCTACCTCGGCCACAACTGCAGCAACTCTATACATATCCCGGCGAGACTTTAAAGTTCCAAAAACTACGACTCCATTCTCGTCTTCCAAGGGTTTTGCAGCAAAATCCAGCCCAATGATTTGTATCAGGAACTGCAGTGCTGATGAATCGGTTGAGGCTTCTACGGCGACGGAAACAGAGTCTGAGGAGACTACGGTTGACGTTCCAAAGGGACCCCCGTCTTTGATTTCATCTCTTAATGTCCAAAAGGCTCTTCGTGGCATTGGTAATTAATTAATTGTGATCATTCCCAAGTTCTTGGATTTTATTTCTTCTTTCATTTTGTTTTTGTTTCAGGTTTTCATATTTCAACACTTCATATGTTTCTCTCTCCCAGTTCAAAAGAAATTATGCCTCTCAACTTCTCTCTCTCTCTCTCCCTCTTTACGTTCCTTACATGTGTGTTTATATATAGTACTTACACAAACAAATGTGTACACAGGCAGATACTTGATGTAGTTCTTGTTTGGAATGCAGCCATCACAGATGCAGATCACTACGGCAGACTTGGTCTCCAAATGGGGTGTTCATATGATCAGGTCAGGAATACTGTCGACAAGTTTGCTTTGTGGAATCAATTTTCTTGATTCTAAAAATTCATTACTTGGCACTTTAGTTTTAGTAAAAGTATGTTTCAAACTCATAATGTTATGGAGACTTAAAAATTTGGTATAATTTGTAAACTTAATGATATGTCAAGTGATGAAGTCGTGACGAAAAAATCCAAGAATTATAGCCATAACAACACTATTAGATCATATTACTGTCACATCATTAAGTCTGTAAATCATAACAATTTTTTTGGTTCCAATATCATTACTCTTTTCAATATAGTTCTACCAAAATTATACTTAACACATATTTTTACTTTGAAAGATGTGAATTTAATAAATGTTTTTATGAGAACTACGGTATTAAAAACTATTGCGAAAAATTATATAAGTCATAAAGATGACCATATTTTGACAAAAAAAACTTATGATTAATTGCACTGAAAGTTTCTAAAGTATAAAGTTTATCGTATTTTAATCCTTAATACTTTAATTGCATCATTTTGATCTATGAAGTATTGAATATGTTTCTATGTGGTCTCTCAAGCAGACAACGTCCAAATTACTAATAATTTTTTATTATAAACTTGTCACATTATACCAAAATATGGACAAAAAAATAATTGGATAACTTTTAACCAAAATTTTACCCAAATTTAATCAAATAGTTATCCAAATTATATCGTTTTGATCACGAGTTATCAAAATTTTGGTCAATAGTTATCTATATTACACATTTTTTGTCAAGTGCTATCCAAATTTTAGTCTAGAGCTACCCATATTAATTTTATATTTAAGTATCACGTGATAAGTTTATGATGAAAAAATCTTTAGCAATTTAGATGTTATTTGCTAGAAGAACTACATAGAAACATATTCAATAGTCTAGGACTAAAATGATACAATTGAAACATTAGGGACCAAAATGATACAAACCTAAAACTTTGGAAACTTTGGGTGCAATTAACCCAAAAACTTATCTTTCAAAGGGCCGACTTTTCTCTCTCTCTCTCTCTCCCCTTTTTTCAATTGTTTTTTATTATCAGGTTAGAGATGGTTACAAGAACAAGTGTGAAGAACTGATGGGTCAAGGATTAGAAGAAGAGGAACTGGGCAAGAAGCTTGATCTCTTAAAAGTTGGTTGCCTTTCAAAGTTATAAAAAAAAAAAAAACAAAAAACAATTGGGACACTTGGGGAATAGTTTATCTAATTTCATCAAATTGCTTTTGTAGGAGTCGTACTTAATTTTGTCATCTGTAGAAGAAAGAAGGCTGTATGATTGGAGCTTGGCGAGGAATGAGAAGCCAGATCGATATGTATGGCCTTTCGAGGTTGACATTACACAAACTCCAACAGAGTCTCCTCCACCACAGGTATATGTTTTCCTTTGCTTTTTTTTAGGGGTGCTTAGGTATACGTTTTTCAGTTATTAAAGGTAAAATTAGACTTATGTTTTTCAGTTATTGAAGGTAAAATTAGACTAAGTTAGTTCGATAGTAACTTAGTACCAAGTTTTAATCATCCATTAAGATCAAGTCTTTTGTTAATTCCAACCCCATGAAATAGTATTAATTATCACGACATGCATACCCATGTGATAGGTGAAATAAAATCAATCATGATTCGATGTAAGGTCTTTTTCATCTTTTTAATTTTTCACATATTAATCTCTAATTTAAATATTAGGACAATGAACACACACTTTAATAATAGCCTTGATCTAGAGAAAGGATCAAATGATAGACCAACCAGTATTGGCTAAATTGAATGATTTGCCTAATCACATTCCATGTTTTAAAGAAACTAAACATTTCCATATATATTGTGTTATTCACTTACAAGTTTACTCATTTCTATATATTCCAAATTTATCATCAATTTAACGAAAATAGTGAGATTTTTTTTTATTATTATAGATGCAACATAACCATGCCACAACTTTAAAATGTCTTCTTAGGTTTATATTGTCTCAATTTAATCCTTCAAAATTTTAAATCTCAACAACTAAGGGATTCTTCGCTCGATGTGTTGGCTTGGCTTCGGCTTTCACAAGAACAAATACAAGTCTCACATCACTTCTTTCAATTTACCTCCTAAATTTCTCTTTTTTGGATTTTCTGTTTGGTTTAATGGAAGAATTGAACAAACATGACTCTCTATGAAGTTCGGCCCCGAGGTAGTGGATACTAGGGGACAAATTAAAACTTGTGCGAAAGTTCAGGTGATTTGTATCCAGTTCGTCCATTTCTTATGCTTCTTCACATTCCTTAAGCTCAAATGTATCCCTTACCTCGGGGAAAAGTCATTAGAGTACATTTTTTTCATCTAAAATTATTTAAAATTTATTCAGTTGAGACTTACATGGTGTTTAATAAAACTACAAATTAAGTATTGAATGCAGAATTTTAAATACTGAAAGTTATTTTTTTTAATGTGCAAACCATTTGATATTTACTAAAATTATGGTGGGTGGGATTATGACAAGGACGAGATTGGGGGTGATGGTAGTTGTGGTCGGTTGGTTAGGTGGTGGTGGTAGATGGAAATGGGAAAGCAATAATGGAGTTGGATAAGTGGTCGGTGTTGACAATGATAGTAATGGTGGAGGTGATGGTGGCGGGGTAACAAAGACGATGATTGTAGTCATAGTGTTGTGATGGTAGTTGTAATGGGGGTGGTTAGTTGGTGCCGGTGGTGGTGAAATAGCAATCATTAGATTGTGATTGTGGTGGCGGTTGTTAGGTTTTGATGACAGGGTTGTAGTTAGGGATAGTGAAGACAATAATGGAGGTGAATAAGTTGAGGGGCAGTGGTAGTAATGGTGGAGTGATGTTGACGGTCATAATGGTAGGCGACAACCGTGGTGTGTTTTTAAAACTTAAAGTGGCAGAGGTTAAGATGGTGAGTGTTTAAAAATTAGGGTTGAGATTAACAATAATTTTCAGCATTAAATGATAAATAAATAATTTACTACTTATAATTTTAACTTAACTTTAAGAAAGATTTAAAATTTTAATTAGTGAACGCACTTAAATAATTTTTTTTCTTTGAATTTTAATTATGGAATTGAATTATCAAACACCTTAGCCTAATAAAGTTGAATCCGCTGTCCGTTGTAGGAACCAGAGGACGTGGGGCCAACAAGATTGGTGGGATACTTCATGTTGGGATGGTTGATACTAAGCTTCACATTAACAATTGCCCTCAACCGATAGGGATGTATCTTAATCCCAATTATTTCTTGTTTCTTTCATTTATTCCAATGTAAGGCTATTTAGTAGTTCAATTATGTCCAAGACAAAATTAGTAATTTACTCTCATTATTTTTTAATACCTCGAAGAAATTATTATCTCATAGAATGCGGAACTTGTGCACGTTGTGCCTGAACAACCGTGTGTGTGTGTGTGTGGGACCGAGAGAGGGAGGGGGGACAATGCTCCCATGTCATTGCACCATTTGTTGTTGTGTAAGTGTTTGTATGTGTGTGTGTGTGTGTGAACATATGTGTGAGAGAAAAAGACTATGCTTAAAATAACTAATATAATATTATTTAAATCTAATTTACAATGACTCTAAACGGTGCACCGGTTGTGGCATGTGTCTGTGTGTGTGTGTTAGAAAGTCCGTGCTTAAAATAAAAGCTCCGGCTAAGACATGGGCTAAAGCATCTCAATTTTGGGCTCATCAACGGAGCACCGTGTGTGTGTGTGAGTGAGAGAGAGAGAGAGTTCCCATGATTACCATAAAAGACCCAACCCTACTACAATAAGGGCTCAAGTGCCTTAATTTTGGGCTCATGCGTTTGCTCATGGAGTCCAACTCTAATACAGTAGATCAGCAAAATCAGTAGGTAAACTGACAAACATTGTAGGGGGAACCACCGTATCTACAAACGTGCACGTTTTAGACCAAATCTCTAAATAAACTCTTAATAAAAAAATAGTTAAAAATAAGCAATCAAATCAAATCTCTATTTTAACTCAACCACTAATCCATTGACCAATTCAAACTCCTATTACTAACTAAAAAATGTATAAAAAATATGTACGAAGATGACTTCACTTTCTATACTTAAACTTTCGGACGCCCCACAACCAAACACATAAGCTGAACACATAATATTAAAGAAAAGCCTACAATGGTATCATTTATTAATACTTTTTAAGCAATTTTTTAAAAGTTAAAAAAAAGTAATTCCGTCAAAAAACTAAAACATGTGTACTTAATATTTTACACAAGTGATCTAGCATTTTGCCACATTAATTATACTATTGATATACATGCAGAGCTCGTTTGATAGACGTATTATCAATGAATTAAATATTGTATTGTACAATTATTAATTTAATATAATTTAATACTTTATTTGGTAGACAAATTTAATTTTGTATTAATTTTAAAAATATATATTAATTTAATATTTATCGTATATTTTTTGTACGATAAACTTATATTATGGAAGTATTTTAATACTACTAAAGAGGTAGTGTTACAATCCAACTTAAATATATTACTGTATACATTTACTATTATAATCCCACTACTGATAAGACTAAAATATCGTCTACATAACAAACACTTTGACGTACATTAGAATTGATTGAGATATTTTTGTTATTTTAATATTAATACAATAAAATAATTCCCTAGCCAAACACTGAATAAGACTAAATAACTATTTTCCAACATTTATGTTATGTGTGTCAAATACTAGATAAAATTACGTATGATTTTAATACCTCATTTAATTTTGTCTTTTGCCCATTTATATTGTATTAGACTAGATTGATTTATACAATTCATCCATTTGTAATATGGTTACCAAACGAGTCCACATTATATAGTTCAACCAAAAAGAAAAAGGATATATATATATATATATATATATATATATATATATATAGTTATGATACAGAAAAATATAGTTAAGGGTGGGCATTGACCCTATCGGAGTTAGAAGTCATCAATCCGACCTTTGACTTCTGTCGGAGTGACTTTTCCCCTTTGACTCTGACTCTAACTCCATAATTCATTGAATCCGCCTCTTCCTCCACCAATTGGAGTCGGAACGGAATTTCAAAAATTGACATAATTCAAAAATAAAATAAAATAATACCAAACAATGTACATAAACTTTACAATATAAACACACTTAGATGAAGTTTCAATTGAATCTAACCACGTAAATGTAAACACACACACATAGAGAGAGAAAGTGTTACTATTTGAGAGAGCTTTGTCGAAGATGAGACCATCGTTGAAGCTACTTCGTTGACATTGCAAATTTGAGGATCTACGCTCTATTCCATTAGAAGAGTGAGATCTATCGTTGATTAAGAGGGACAAAGATGAAAGAGTTAGGCTAGGTTGCTCATCCAGAGAGAGAGAAAGAGGGGAGATGGAGGGGCTTGTGACATCGACTATGTGTTTGTGTCTGAGTGTGAGAGAAATAGAGAGATAAGGAGATGGAGGGGCTTGCTGCGTCGACTGTATGTGTTTGTGTCTGAGTGAGAGAAAGAGAGAGGGGGAATGATTCGAGTGGGACTGTAGTTTTATTAATTAATAAAAGTCAGAGTCGGAGTTGGAGTCGAAGTCAGAGTCAGAGTTTTTTCAAAATGGACTGCAGCTTCCAACTCCGACTCTTCCTCTAACTCTGACGGAGACAGAGTCGAATTTTTGAATTCTTGCACACCCTGAAATACAGTAACATACGACAAGGTTAAATCAAAAGAAAACATAAAAATGTAAAAACAAATGTCTTTTAAAAAGGCCTTAAAAAAGCCCAAAATGTAAAAATACTTTCGAAAGTGATAGCTACTTAAAAATAATGGCCTAGGCCCGATTAGTGTGTTACTGCGTAGATTGGTGAGTTCTATGGGGGAAAAGATTGATTTGCGGATAATATAAGAAACTAAGTATAAATGGTTCACTTAAGTCGAAAGACCAAGACTACATTCACTATAATGGAGTCTCTTACTCCTTAAGATTGTATATTAAGACCAGATGGGTATCTCGAGATTAGTGGCTCTGAGCCTCTACAATGTCTTATATTTAGTTTGTTGTATGTCTAGGGTTGAGTTAATACAGCCGAGAGTGGATACAGCCGAGAGAGGGGAGGAGAGTGTGCTTTGGTAGCTTTTTTTTGTTCTATTTATACCAGTCATTCCTTCAAGGGTTCTTGGTGGCTACTTCTACCTTTTCGTTGATCTTGTGGGGACCTTCCGTACTCGCTCTGCAAATGCCTCTGCTAGCCGGCACTACTGTGTCCACGATCTATAGATCGTTACGCACCACCATCCTCTGTAACTGTCATAGGTTTCAGCGGTGGTCCCCTTGTCCTTTGGACACGTTGCACGGTGGGATGCTCCTAGGGCAAAGATTCTGCTCCTCTTTCTCGGACTGGACTTTGGTTGGTACTAGATTGGGCCAAGGTTGGACTGCCGGTCTTCTGGAGTCATTGGGCTTTACCCTTTCTGCTGTCTTGGGCTAATCAGAGGCGCTTCTTTGGGGGCTAACTAGCCCCACGTTTGGGTTCTCAGGATGTTATTAGGCTTCGAGGCCATGGAGGCCCATGTCCAAAATTTGATCCTTATTAGTTGTCCCCCAGCCTTTGGTCATGAGGATGATATCATCTCTGACATGGGCTTATAGTTGTCTTTTCTGAATTTGTCACTAGCCTTCTATGTGATGAAATGTCTCATAATTGGCTCTGATCTGATCTGGGCTGAGTTGATTCCTGCAAGTTATGATAAGATGGTGTACTCATGTGTTGCTAGCGGGTGAGCCTAATGGTATAGATTCTTTGACGCGTCCTATCATCTGCCTGTCACGACTTTAAATGCTGTGTATAAAAAGGGGGAAAATCCTCCTTGCCTTTCCCACTTCGTGCTCTTTGAAATCTCTTCCCTAGGTCTTTCGAGGCGTCTTGTTCCAGACTTTTTGGTGACTTAGGATCTCTACGCTTCCAGTTCCTTTCCGCTCCTAGCGTCTCATTTGGTACGCCTCCCTTCCTTTTTCTTTTCGCTCGTCCTAGATCCCTTCAAACCTCCCTGGTGGGGCTTCGGGTTCTGTTTTTTGATCTGGAGATTTAGTTATTTTAGGAATTGCTCCGATGATCTTTCTTCCCTTCCACACTTTGTAGACTCCTCTACATTGTCAAGGGTGTCTTTTCTTAGGGATTGGTGTCTGAAACCTTTATTCTTGATAGATTGCGCTTTACAGTTGCCCTCTTTGCATTCTGGTCTGCGAGCTGACCCTTTAATGGAGAAATTTGTTGTTTCTTCCTCTAAGTCAGACTTCGAGGAGCAGGTTGGTGAGGAAAGTACCTCAGGTTCCTCTAGTGATTGCTTTCTTATTGTTGGTGAGGCGGCCTCTGGGTTTGCCCTTGGAATTTCTGCCTCGAATTCTTTGGTTGAAGCTCGTCCTCTTTCATCTGTTCCTTCTGTTCTTTCTACCCAGTCGAGAAAGAATGGGTCAGAGCAGATCTTGCCCCCCATTCTTAGGAAGAAAACTCGCTGTGATCCATCTGACCTACCGATTGTGCCAACGAGACTTCGAGTTGTCTTGATGACGACGATTTAAAGGAGCTGAGGTGGGAGTACCATCTCTCGGATTTCGTGGAGCTACACGTTCCCGTGAGAAACGAGAAGTGCAACTCTTCTCTTCTCGGGCTGACCTGTTTCTTCGAGTCTGCATTCCATGTTGGCCTTCGATTTCCTGTCCACCCTTTTATTTGGAAGGTTCTTGGTTTCTACAACGTTTGTCCGACCCAATTTTTCTCAACGGTTGGGGCCTTTTGGTTGCTTTTCTCATCTACTGGCTCGAGAGTGGGAACAACTCTTCTCCCTCCATTCGAGAGTTTACTCCTCTTTTTCAGCTGATGTCTTCTCCTTCCTTGGTTTCTTGTACTTTGCCAAGAGGGTAAAAGCGAAGGCTCTGATTTCTGGGCTTCCTTCTTCTAACAATGGATGGAAGCCGAGGTTCTTCTTCGTCAGGAACGACTCATAGGAATTGACAGAGGAGCTTGGCGATGTTCCTCGCGTCCCCCGGTCCTGGGGGTTTCCAAGGAATACCCGTAAGGCTAATCTATTGGCCATGCTTTCCCCTTCTGCTCTCATTTCCTTGTCTTACTTAATCTTTGATCTAGCTTGCAAATTTCTATCCAACACTCAACGCAGAAGAGGTTGCTAGGGTTGCTAAGGCCGAGGCTCTAGGGTTGCAATCCTTTTTTGACCTGGTGACCGATCAGAATTTTGCTGCGTACCAGCTCTGACCTCTTGTCGATCAAGTTTCAGAGGTTGCAACTCCGCCTGCCCCCCAGTCTAAATCTATGGATCAAGACCTAATCATGGTGCTATT